TGATTGGCTATCCACTTCTCGGAGATTTTCGTGAATGATCTGCAATTTGTGTAACCGATAACTGTCTCCCCTCGAGCTTTGTCGCCCAGATTGTTATTTTCTAAATTTAAATTTGTTAGTGCATTAATATTGCATAGTGCATCAGCCACTCCTTTCCATGCTCCATTACATAGATCTTTTGAACTTAAATCCAAGTATTTTAAAATAGGGTTTGTACATAGAGCTTCACCTAAAGTTTTTCCCGCCTCATAACATAGCTTATCATGATTTAAATATAAATTGTTCAAATTGATATATGGTTGTGAATCTGGCATTTCTTTGTTTAATTGAATGATATGAATTCGTATATAAATTTATTGTTTTAATATATTCAAACGAGAATGCGAGTTAAATAGTATGATTAATATTGATTCAACAGTTATAGATACTAAGTTTAATAAAAAAAAAAACTAATATACCATGATTAAATAATTTTCTTCGTTTTGCTTCATCTTATAAATATAGTTCGTAAATAAGTCTAGTAATACGTTAAAATCGATAAAATAGTCAAACATTAATTTATACTTACTATAATCATTTTTATTTGGCAAAAGTTTGGTAATGTGTTTTTTTGAAGTTGATAAGTTTATAGTTGAATTTAAACCGTTGGCATTTTTAAAATGCTTATGACTGCGTATTCATATAAATTAGGGAAATGAATAATTTATTATTTTTAAATGAAAAAGATAATAAACTTAATTACTTACATAATATTAAATGAATCATTATTAATATTTTGAAAAGAAATTATAGAGCGTAATGTAAAAGATCCAGAACCTTGAAATAAATCTAAAAGCACAGAGTCTATAGTAGGATTTAATAATTTGCTGTGAGTTTTAGAATGAGGATGCATATATTTAACAATAAATTTTCCGGCCTTAAACAATTCTTGTCGCTTCGTTTCAGCTGCATTTATATAACATCTATTTTTATTCCACGATTCATGATTTATTATATCATATATTTTATTAATAGTTGGCCTTTTTAAAGGATCCGGGTGCCAACATTTTTGCATCAAAATTGCCCAACATTGTGGTGTATCTTCTGTGATATTTGGCCGTAACGGAAAATTTTCATTACATATATCAAGCATAAGATGAGCATCATATGCCTGATCATAGAAAGGACGCAATCCAGAAGTAAGTTCCCACATAATCATTCCTAAACTGTAGATATCTGAGCTAAATGAATATTGCTTTTTGATTAACACTTCAGGTGCAATATATGGCATGATTCCATATATTTTCGTTTCTGAACTTTCCAGTTCCTCTTTTGCTGGTCGACTAAATCCTAAATCTGCAATTAAAGGAGTAGAGTCAGATCCATCAATTGTCAATTTACCTACTAATATATTTCCATCGTGTATATCGCGGTGTATAATTTTATTTTCATGAATCCATTTAATGCCTGTAACAATATTTCTAAGAAAGTCAAGTTTCATTTCCCAAGTAATATCCTTAAAATTATTTGATAAATAATTATTTAGGCTTCCATTAGACATGTAAGACATAACAAAAATATAATCTTTTGTTTTTGAATTTTGTGACACTCCATAACATTGAATAAGATGGCGCTTGGTGGAATTAGGTTGACTTTTAACAATATTTTGTAACTGCGGCAAAAAATTACAAATTTTAGAGTAATGTATCAATAGTTAAACTAAAGTTTATCTAATATTACCTCATTTAAGAATGCTGAATTAATGTTTTGGGAATCTTTGAGAACTTTTAACACTATCGTTTGATTCTCTCCTCTACGATATTTTCCTTCATCTTCGTTCCAACCTATTATTCTTCCTTTTGTCCATGTAGCAGTATATATTTCGCTAAAACCACCAGTTCCAATTTGGGTTATATCTGTAAAATCGTTAAATGGTATCCATTCTAATCTAAATTTAAATTGATTCTTGTATGTTGCTTTGATCAGATTGTCAATATCTTGATTTCCGCTACTAACAACTTTCTGGAATTGTGTAAAATAGCAGAATGCACACAATTTATTATTCTCATATTTAAGTTGTCTCTTTCTATTACAGCCGATGCATTTAGTTTGTTTGGAATGGCAACGAATACATAGATTATCGGATCTAAGTATTAGCTTTTTATTGCAGTTTACACATTTTTCTCTATTGTGTTTCATATTTATACTGCTACATGGACAAAAGGAAGAATAATAGGTTGGAACGAAGATGAAGGAAAATATCGTAGAGGAGAGAATCAAACGATAGTGTTAAAAGTTCTCAAAGATTCCCAAAACATTAATTCAGCATTCTTAAATGAGGTAATATTAGATAAACTTTAGTTTAACTATTGATACATTACTCTAAAATTTGTAATTTTTTGCCGCAGTTACAAAATATTGTTAAAAGTCAACCTAATTCCACCAAGCGCCATCTTATTCAATGTTATGGAGTGTCACAAAATTCAAAAACAAAAGATTATATTTTTGTTATGTCTTACATGTCTAATGGAAGCCTAAATAATTATTTATCAAATAATTTTAAGGATATTACTTGGGAAATGAAACTTGACTTTCTTAGAAATATTGTTACAGGCATTAAATGGATTCATGAAAATAAAATTATACACCGCGATATACACGATGGAAATATATTAGTAGGTAAATTGACAATTGATGGATCTGACTCTACTCCTTTAATTGCAGATTTAGGATTTAGTCGACCAGCAAAAGAGGAACTGGAAAGTTCAGAAACGAAAATATATGGAATCATGCCATATATTGCACCTGAAGTGTTAATCAAAAAGCAATATTCATTTAGCTCAGATATCTACAGTTTAGGAATGATTATGTGGGAACTTACTTCTGGATTGCGTCCTTTCTATGATCAGGCATATGATGCTCATCTTATGCTTGATATATGTAATGAAAATTTTCCGTTACGGCCAAATATCACAGAAGATACACCACAATGTTGGGCAATTTTGATGCAAAAATGTTGGCACCCGGATCCTTTAAAAAGGCCAACTATTAATAAAATATATGATATAATAAATCATGAATCGTGGAATAAAAATAGATGTTATATAAATGCAGCTGAAACGAAGCGACAAGAATTGTTTAAGGCCGGAAAATTTATTGTTAAATATATGCATCCTCATTCTAAAACTCACAGCAAATTATTAAATCCTACTATAGACTCTGTGCTTTTAGATTTATTTCAAGGTTCTGGATCTTTTACATTACGCTCTATAATTTCTTTTCAAAATATTAATAATGATTCATTTAATATTATGTAAGTAATTAAGTTTATTATCTTTTTCATTTAAAAATAATAAATTATTCATTTCCCTAATTTATATGAATACGCAGTCATAAGCATTTTAAAAATGCCAACGGTTTAAATTCAACTATAAACTTATCAACTTCAAAAAAACACATTACCAAACTTTTGCCAAATAAAAATGATTATAGTAAGTATAAATTAATGTTTGACTATTTTATCGATTTTAACGTATTACTAGACTTATTTACGAACTATATTTATAAGATGAAGCAAAACGAAGAAAATTATTTAATCATGGTATATTAGTTTTTTTTTTTATTAAACTTAGTATCTATAACTGTTGAATCAATATTAATCATACTATTTAACTCGCATTCTCGTTTGAATATATTAAAACAATAAATTTATATACGAATTCATATCATTCAATTAAACAAAGAAATGCCAGATTCACAACCATATATCAATTTGAACAATTTATATTTAAATCATGATAAGCTATGTTATGAGGCGGGAAAAACTTTAGGTGAAGCTCTATGTACAAACCCTATTTTAAAATACTTGGATTTAAGTTCAAAAGATCTATGTAATGGAGCATGGAAAGGAGTGGCTGATGCACTATGCAATATTAATGCACTAACAAATTTAAATTTAGAAAATAACAATCTGGGCGACAAAGCTCGAGGGGAGACAGTTATCGGTTACACAAATTGCAGATCATTCACGAAAATCTCCGAGAAGTGGATAGCCAATCA